GGGGAAATATTTGATATGACAATGTCATGTAGATGATGTAGACAAATGAGAACTTCCTAACTGGCAGAATGAAAAACTGGGAGCTGATTGTGTTAAATACATTGGCTAATTAGACTATGAAAGAAGGCAAGAGTTTAGCAGGAGTCAAAGTGCTACGTCATTTATTTAAATAAATTGATTTGCAGTAAATACCAACTAAATAAAGTTTCAGAAGGTACATAAAACTGCAGAGTTCAAATGTATATTGCAAGGAAGAGAATTTTCTGTGGGAATATTTCACATTTGCCTGGAAAGTGTCTCTGGCTACTTCTTCTGAACCAGTGGTGCTGTTGCAGCTGAAGATATAACATCAGTCCAGGTGATGGTGGATCTAACTCCCCTTGGCTTTTCTACATTCTGTTCTGGATTTTACATGTTGATTTCTCAGAAGCATCATACAAGAAATATACCCTTTATTGGGCAGGGAGAGAGGAAGAATTCTCTAATCCATCAGTGAGGGTTATCTGTTTTAAGCCCATCTGGACTGGTGAGTCAAGTCCCTTGGGCAAGACGTAGAATGTCAGCCACAAAGGCAAAAGACCAGAGCTAAGGAGGTGTTGCCAAGTACTGACCTTGAAGTTTAGGAGCTACATTTGGAAATTATAAATAGCTGGAGATGGTCTTCTTGCAACCTCCAGGATGCCTTGGTGACTGCCCTCCTCAGAGGGAAGCAGGCTGCCCTCCGGTCACAGCTCCAAGCCTCTAGCATAGTCCTTCAATGGGGAGCATCTTGTAGCTGGTCATACCTTTTTCAGACCTCCGTTCTTGTGAACTGTGATGGCTGTCTGTCAGTCCTTATCTATGTGATGCGAATATTTTTGATGTCCTGTGATTTCAAAATTGAATGCTAACCAGTTGGTTTTCATGGGCTCCCAAGGTGTGAGTTTTAAATAGAGAAGAGGATATTTTAACACAGTGTGGCACTGGACCTCTTGCCAAAGGGCATATATGAAGACTATATTTATAGTGTGCTTTCCTTCTACACTTGGTTTGTATTGTTTATATTTGATGTGTTGTGGTTGATTTGTAATAATATATTGAAACTTATTCCCTTTAAATAAACTTTTCGCTATGCAACCAAGAACTTTGTCTTCTGTTTAAAGCAAGTGAACATCTTGATTTGAGAAACTGAACTACAGACTTTCCAATAAAACAAGAATACAATTAAACTTGGTTTTATGAGCAAAGAAGAGGCAAATACTCAAAATGTACTTTGCAGTGTACTGGACATTTTGGTTGCAAATGGATAGGAGAGTGGTCTGTTGTCAGTTGGTGATGATGGCTCCAGCCAGGAATTTTTTCGTCCTGTTAAAATGACGTGCTGGGATATTTTTCATGTAAATCTTCAAATTCTCTGCAATGCTTGCGATTGTACTGAATGCTTGAAGAATTGTAGAGGAAAAGCAAGTAGCCAAGCTCATATAATGGGCACAGGTAGAGTTTGAATATTTTACCCTCTAGTGCTTCATACTGGTACTTGTCATCTCCGTTTGCAGAGATCCCCTATAGGTAGCTCTTCTGTTACTTCAGCTTTCAATCTGAAGAGCTAAAAACATCTCTTCAGTTACCAGATCCACATTGAGTTGTCTAGACGAAAGTGTTTGCCCTTCATAGCTCCTCACAGCTGCTTTGCTCATCAACTTTATCATACTACAAAGATTATATTTACATATACTGAAGGAAGCATTTGCTGGTCAAAATGAGGAATGATTCCTGCAGCCAGAGTAATCCTTTCTTACCTATCTCATTATGAAGTTTGGCAGGACAAGTGCTGCAGGGTTTCAGTTGTCTCATTTCTAGTCCAGTGTTTCCTTGGAGCACTTTTATAAAATAATTGATGGGCAGGAGCAATCATAAAGTGAGTTGATCAAAGGGATAGATGATTCTGCAAAGTTAAAGATGTTTCATTGTGTTTTAAGAACACCAAAGAGAAACACCGCTACAGCTACCTGATCACCATGCACTCGCTATGCATCCGTATCCTTGTGCTTGGCTCAGGCATGTGGACAACAGGAAAAGTAAGGAAAACAGTGGGGATGCAGGGAAGTGATACATTAGTTCTTTTTGGTCCACACTCCATAATTTTTGTGGTTGGGCTGCAGCAGAAACGCTCTGATAATGAGCTGCTCAGCAAAGGCATTGCAGCAGGCTTTGTTGGCCTTGCCAGGGAAGCAACTCTTCCCTGATTCAGCTGCACTGGGAGAATATTGTTCTTTGGCTTCTGAAGTCTTGTCATTGCCTTTAGTGGTGTTTGATTATCAACAGCAGTTTTCAGCTTAGGAGAGCCATTGTTAGACAGGTGGTATCGGATACACAATGGAGTCTCTGTAGTAATACATACACATGTAATTATTGTTTAAGGAATATCTGCCACCATCCTGCCTTGCATTGATAGGAACCCTGACTGCCAAGTAAAAGAAGCAAGGTTCACACCTGCTCCTTTTTGTACAGATACCATCATTTAGGAATCAGCAAGCAAATTAACCCTCTCTGGAAATGGACATATGGCTTGGGCTCTAGAAATGGTGAAGGTCTGGAGCACAAGCCCTATGAGGAACAGCTAAGAGAGCTGTGGTTGTTCAACATGAAGAAGAGGCGGCTCAGGGGAGACCTTATTGTTCTCTACAACTACCTGAAAGGAGCCTGTAGCCAGGTGGGGGTCAGCCTCTTCTCCCAGGCAACCAGTGACAGGAAGAGAGGACATAATGTTAAGCTGCACCAGGGGAGGTTCAGATTGGACATTAGGAGGAATTTCTTCACAGACAGGGTGACTAGATATTGCAATGGGCTGCCCAGGGAGGTGGTGGAGTCACTGTCCCTGGAAGTGTTTTAAGGAAAGACTGGACCTGGTGCTTAGTGCCATGGTCTAGTTGACAGGGTGGTGTTCGGTCATAGGATGGACACGATGATCTCAGAGGTCTTTTCCAGCATAATTTGATTCTGTAATGGGTATAATTTGATACAAAGGCAAGGGGTTGGCCCAGCTTCAGAGGGCCAGAAGCCAGCCCTCCTCCCCCGACAGCCTCCTTGCTTGCCAGGGCTGCCACCGGCACCGCCGTGAGCGGGGATGGCCTTGGCCTTGCTCCCGGACCGGGGTTCGAGCGCTCCCACCACCGGCCGAGAAGGCGCGGGCAGGGCGGGCCTGCCGAGCCGCTGTGCAGCTGTGGGGCCGGGGCGGGGATGGCCGGGGCCGCCCCCCTTGCCCTGCGGCGCCTTAATAGCAGCCCCGGCGACCCTCCCGTTGCCCGCCGCCGCGATGCTGCCCGCCCGCCGCCGAGGCCGCCCGGGGCCCGCGGGCCGCGCCCTGCGGGGCGGCCTCGCCTTCTACGTGCTGTGGGCTCTGCGGGAGCCGCCGCGGCGCCTCGGCAGGTACGGCCCGGCCCGGCCACGGGGTCTGCGCGGCAGCAGTGGGGCCAACGCGGCCCAGTCCCTGCCAGGGTTGGGCTCCCCCGAGGCCGGGGGCACCCGCACGCCTGGCCTTGGCCCTGGTCTCTGGAGCTGCCCCTGCCCGCACGGCTGCACTGCCCCAGCTCGTAGCCACGCTCCCTGCCCAGTCTACCCGTTATTTTCATCATCGCACCCTTGCATAGTTTCATCTTCAAATGACACCAGCCCTCTCCTTTCACCATTTCCGGGCATGTGTGATTTTAGGTCTGTAAATGTATTTATTTTTTTTTTTAACATTCATTTTGCTCCTTGATGATTATATATGGTGTTTTTCTTCCCTCGCAGCCAGTCCAGCAAGATGGGTTTCCAGGCTTGGCTGCCCCTGCCTTTGCCAAAGCAGCTGGTGGTGTTCAGCCTGGGAGACTGGAGCTGTTACTCTCCAGACACGAGCATCGCAGTGGAAGTGCTGGTGTCCCCAGGCGTCGCACCACAGCGCATTGGCACGCTGGAGCCCACACGCAGGTTATGGCAGGAGCTGCTAGGATGTCAGGAAGGGCATGCTGGAAAAGCTTTCTGATCTCTGGTGCTACCTGCTTCTACTGGTGTAGTCCCAAAACTGCTCAGGCCTGCTGGTCCTCCACCATAGTATTTCTCTCTAATGATGCTTTCAGCTTCCTTTTGGCTGCTTTCAGGGCTGGATCTTTTTCAGCTTTCGGCTCTTACTGTCTAGGGTAGGAGCAGGAATTTTGCCCTGGTCAGTGTCAGTTGTGGGCTGAAAACCCATGGTGGTCCCTTGTGCAGGTCTCTGGTGTGGGAAGATGACTGGAGAATGGATATTTTCATGACCTCATTGAAAGAGATGGACAAAGGCAACCCTGTGAGGCTTGTCCTGACTGTCAATGGACAGGTAAAACAACTGACATTCTCCTCTCCTCCTGCCTGGGATCCCAAATGTTATAGTTTTTGAGCCACAGAATCTCCTCTCCCATCCTCTCCTTTTCCTTTTCTTTGCTACTCCAAGGTAGAGCTAACAAATGCAGATCTGAGCGCAAGCCCTCTGTGATGCTCCAGGCATACCCTCTAAACACAGCTTTGTCAGAACACCTGTGCTGCAGGAGACTGGCAGCAGAGAGCAATTCACTTCCAGTTCCACTCTTTCCTGAGTCTTACAGAGTTGTTTTACCTTGTACTGAAGCCCTTGGATTTAGCATGTTGCAGTGCCTGGCTTTCCTTTTCCTTGTTTACTCTGTTGGTGTGGGAGATGAAATGTGGGCTATACCACTGGAGGGAATCTGTCCCTTGCAAGACATCTTTTTGCCCACCCTTTGAGGCTGGGGGCTGGCACAGTTGCTATGTCCTTTTGTTTTGTCACATTTTCTGCCACAGCTGCTCCGAGGTGTCTCCAGCAGTACACCTGCTCACCCCTTCCTTGTCCCAGAGACTACCCAGTCACCAGTGTTTCCAGCAGATGATAGACCTGTTGGCCGGGATCTGGAGGATCCTATCGAGGTATGTGTATCCTGGAACCTTCCTCTTGTTATTTCACCCTCTCCTTAGTAACTTTCCCCCTCGCCAGTGGCCATTCACTTGATGTCTAGCAGACATTTGTTGCCACTCTTTTGGTTAGACATTGCTAAGAAAGTTTTGGAGCCAAAGATTCACTTGTGCTAGGGAAAGATGTATTCTTTGTTGAAATGCCTTTGGAAAGGTTGAATTTAACGGTGCTTGGTGGGATGATTGTACAGCCTGTTTACTACTGGCACAGAGGGCCTTTTTGCCCTTCCAGTTGCCTTGTTCAACTGTGCCCAGCAGCCTAGAAGTGGACTGCAGCACACAGCAGCAGTTAGCTGCATTGCTCAGCATCTGTTTGGCAGCTGATACTGTTGGCATGCTGGCCCTTAGGACTCAATGGGAAGATGAGCCTGAAAACAAGCATCATGTGAAACTAATCTCTGGCCCAGTAACAGACAATTCACAGTAGCCTCAGGTCTTCAGAGCTGATTTCATTGGGACTCTTGTCACAGGTTAAGAGCCAGAGCTCAGAGGTGGCTGCTAGAGGATCCAGGCCTGGGAGGAAGGATGTCCATGCACCACTGAGGGCTCTGGTAGTGCCCTATGCCCTGAAGCCACCATCTGGCAAGGTGAAATCCAATGAGACCTGGAGAAATAGTCCTGTCCAAGGACCACCAAGAGTCCACTCCAAGAAGCCCAGGAAAGTTTTATTTGAACCCACAGCATCTGAGAGAGATCTTGATGAAGAAGGTAATTCTGGTAGCTTCTAGCTTTATTCTACAGGTCTTGTCTGAAAGATCAGTCAATGCTGCTGGGCTGCAACTTCCCACTCCACTTCTCTTTATACCTCCAAGGCATGAGGGGCTTGTCTGTGTTGGCTTGCAAATGCTGAGAATGCTCTTTATTCCTGGATCAACTGTTTGATGAATTTTTGCCTGTCAGGAAAAGGCCAGAAATAAAACATGGGATATTCCTAGCATCAACACTTTGTACCATGACACAATATGCCTATCACTTCATACAAGTAAAAAAGTTTTATAAATGAAGGCGAATATCATTAGCCTTGTGTTACAAAAGAGTAAATTGAGGCACAGGAAAGTTACCTAATATGACATCCTGTGACATCTCCATTAGTCTGTTTGTTCCCCTACTAACAGCATACCACTTGGTCCATAGAAGACATTGCTTATTATTACAGTATAGAGAATATGAAAAGGAATATATATATAATTAGCATAATTGTACTGACTTTTCAGTAGTGAGCAGGTAACTGCCAAAGGGTTTGGAAACAAAACCTTAGGCTTCTGGAGTGTGAATTCCAAGTCAGCTCTAGGGTGTGACCAAGTTCACTTGTAAAAACTGAACAATTACTCAGTGGTACCCATGTGAAATGACTTATTGGGACTTGGCTTGCTTCTCACAAAAGCAAATATAGCTCCATCCTTACGCTGCATGCAGTATGAGAAGGGGGAAGTGAGTTTCCATCACAGGGGTAAAATGCAATGGTGACAGCATGATGGCAGTCGAAGGAAGCGTGCCCTACTCTTACCTGTTTTGGGGATTTCTTCTGATGAGACTTTCATGATTCTTTATTTCGCACCTTGTTTGTTGCAGTGAGGTAGTTTTGTGCTGGGGGTTGGAGAAAGGAAGATCAAAGGGTCTTAAACTGTGAAGATTTCATATGTCTGCTGTCTGTTTTCTTTATGAGGCCATCTCTGTGTTCCCTCTGCAGATCTGGCTGTGAAGGAGTTGCAAGGTGAGGATTTGGTTCCTATTGCAGTTTGTCTCTTCAGTCACTCGGTGATGCTAGTCCTTCCCTTTAACGTCAAAAGCCTCTCATGCTTTGCCCTGTATCTCCCCAGTGATCAAGGGCAATAAGTACACTGTGTGTATATACTGTTCCTCTCCATGCAACTGCCATCAGTATAGGTGCTTCCAGTACTGTCAGGCTCTCCAATATGCTTCTGTAGCCCCTCTGAATCTCAGGAACACCTCTGGGTGCATAGCCCTTTGAGGAAAAGGGTAAGATGTGGAATAGACTTTGATTTAGCTTGCTCAGCCAACCACAGGAGCCTGGGAGAGCAAAGGAGGAGGAACAGAGCAGCACGAGGAATATCTCTGGAAGCAGCTCCACCAGGCTTCTGATTGTTCTATCTTGGGCACTAACAAGCTGTCCCTGGGTAGCCTTCCGTCGCTAGGAGTAACACAACTGGGATATCATTTCTGGGGATGTATAATCAATGGACATCCAAGCCTGTCTGAAGTGGAAGCCTTGTATGCATTCTACATCCAGCTACTCTGCTCACAACGTCTCTCCTAGTGCAGCACTTATTCCCCTGAGCCAACTGAAAAGGTTCCTCAGGGAGCTATGTCTTTTGCCACTGCAGAGTGAAGGGACTGAGGCCCTTGCCTTCCCACTTCTTCCCTCTAAGCATTCAGCTGTCTTGTTCTCCCCAGCAGGGAAGGCAGCTGAGGGTGTCTTATGTCACTCTGCTCACAGCCCTGTGCTCTCCTCTCCTCAGGCAGTCCCAGCCCTCGGTGGTGTCATGCCATGTGCCTCAGTGACCTGGGGACAGCTGTTCTGATTGGTGGAGAAGGTGTCGATCAGCAGTCCTGCAAGGATGTGCTCTGGAAGCTGGAAATTGGTGGGGACTTGAATGCTGTCAAAGTCAATGAGGGGGGCTCAAGGACAACTTATGAAAATGGGAGGGGGCACTTGGGGGTCTGTGCATATGGAGGGGACAGCAAAGGTGTCACATCTAGTGCGGTCACCAGGCTGAGCTGACAGCATGGAGTGCCATGTGAGGCTCTGGGGTTGTATGTGAGAGACCTCTAGGAGCTAAGGTATAACTTCCAGAAAGAGTTGGGGGAATTTTAAGGGGTAAAAGCAGTTTGCAGTCTGTGCATGGTAACTAGTGAAGTTGAGATACGACTCCAGTGCATTGTGTCTTTCTGCACCTCACTGGTCCTTTCTTTCACCTTGCTATTCCCCTTCATTCCTTATACAGGAGGAATTCTGTAAGAGTTCCCTCTAGCCCTGAATCAAAAGAGAGGAAGAGACAAAAGGAGCAAAGGTTTTGAGTAAAGATTTTAGGGCATATTTTTAAAATCTAGATAAATCAACAGCATCACTGAAGTCCCACACCATCTCTCTGATGTTGCTCCCACAGACAGTGATTTGTGGCTCCCAGTGGGTTTCCAGCTACAAAACACCATGCCATCATGCTTGCATGGTCACACAGCTACCTATGACCCTGACACCAAGCGTATCTACATCTTTGGGGGCATAAGGGAGGACAAAGACTACAGCAGCATTTACATTCTGGACACGGTCACCTGGAAATGGCTCCTCGTGACTGTGAGTACTGCATCTCTTCCCAGACAAAAGCACAGGAAGGGTGGCAGGTTCTGCCTGAATGTGGCAATCAATGTGCCTGTGTCCTTATTCCAGTAGCCTTGGTCCACTGTTGTTGCAGGTTATCTGAGATGCTTAGTTGGGTTTGACAGATAAAAGAAGGCTATGTTGAAAAGCTGCAAGTGTGACAGAAATCAGGAGCTGTGCCTACAATGAATGAAGCAAGGTGAAAAAATGGTTGCTGTGTCTGGCCAGGCTCACGGGTGGGAGGTACAAGCAGTAGAGGGAAATGGTCATTGAGAGTAGCACCAGATGCTGAGGTGAAGAGCTGGTCTTCTCAAACCAGAGACTGCTCTGAGCACAGCAGAACTCTGAGAAGAACCTGTTGGCAAGGGACTATCTGTCCTTTTCTGGGCTAAGGTACAAGATGGCTTTTACAGAGTAAGCCTGGATGAGATCTTTCTTCCATGTCATCTTCTGAGGAAGGTGGTGTGGGAGATTGACTTCCTTCTCTTATCAGAGCATTCTGGTGGTGCAGAGTATGCAAAGAATGTACTGTCTACTTGTGCAGCAAAGATCTGGCTGGGGAGCCAACAAAGTGGAAGCTGAGACTTGTCAAACTCATTGCATGATGTGGGCCCCTTTCCTACGGGTCATGCAGCAAATAATGTGCTTCTTGTAATAAGCATATGTTGAACTTTTTCCAGGCTAAAGGGAGGATACCAGTGCTCACCTACCACAGTGCAACTATCTACCAAAAAGAACTCTTTGTTTTTGGAGGAACTTTCCCCAAAAAGGCATCACTGGCAGTTGGACTCTGCAGCAATGTGCTCTATGTCTTCAATCCAGAGCATGAAATTTGGTATCAGCCCATCTCAGAAGGGGAGAAACCTCTGCCTAGGTTTGGGTGAGAGTGCTCTAATTCTAGCCCTCAGAAAAAGAGCAGGAAACCTCTGCTCACCTTCCCTCTCCCCCATCAGTGTTATTCCCTAAATATTAGGTGATTGTTCTCCACCGTTTAGTCCTTAAAATAGGGCTGTGTTTTGAGCAATGTGACTCTCAGTACCGTCTGTCATAAATCCTGATGAGATTCTGTCCTTGGGCCGCAGGGTTATGGGTAGAGGCAGGTGTAGACTGAAGCTGTGGCACCTCAATAGAAGAAGCCAAGGCTAAAATGGAAGTTTTGGGAACTTGCTGAATATGTTTTATTCACTTGCTTCCCCTCTGCCCAGGCATTCAGCTACTCTACTGAAAAACAAGCTGCTGATTTTTGGGGGTCGGAGGACTTCTCTTTACCTCAGTGACATGCACATTCTGGATCTGGGTAAGAAAGTCTTGGCTGCCTTGGGAAGGTCCGTCCTAAGACAGGGACTGGGGGGGTGAGGCATGCTAAGTGGGAAGGTAGCAATAACAGTATAAAAACTCCTGACTAGACAATGGAGATGGAAGAACTATGGCGTTAAAAAAAAGAAGGGGAAAAAAAACCAACAACAACAACCCCCCCCAAAACAACAACAAACCAAAAAACCTCCCACCAAAACAAACCCCCACCTTTCTGGGGTAATAGAGGAGGGAATAGAGAAAAACAAGACTGCTTTTTAGAAAGCAGGTTGCTGATGTGGTAAAGCATTGAAGTTTTTGTCTAGTTATGAGGCTGAGCTTTTTGGACATTTCACCTGCCTTTTCCCTGGCTGTCAGGTTTCATGGAGTACACACCAGTCCCCCTACTCGCAGGACAGCCTTCTGCACGTTGGTAAGATCCTATTGCAGACCAGGATCTATTTTCTTCCTCTGTCCTTTCTCCTTGAAGCCAGGTTTAAACAGTGCTGGTGATCAGACCCAGTTGCATCTCTGTCCCAGTAGTCAAAATACAGTGGCTCCTCTGCTGTGGGACTAGGAATTCCTGTCCTTGTTGGTGCCCCTGTGGTGCTGGGGTGTACAGACCCCTTAGTCTCCCTGGAAATCTGCCTTTCAGGCTAGGGTAACCTTTCTGCTGTGTGCTAGTGCACTGTATTGTTTGGTCTCCTCAGTACTTGGAGAGGTACCGTGGCACACAGAGAGGAAGAACCTCCTGTACCAGGACTATGCTGGACCTAATGGGACACAATTGCCCATTAGAACAATTACCTAAATCAGGGCAAAGCCCATCTAGCCTGCTATCTCCCCCCACTAGAGCAAAACACAGGACTTTTGATAGGTCCTTCTGAAAGAATGAGGTGCTCTTCAGGCCTGATCATGGCCTGATCTGCAGAGGCAGCTCTTTTAGGGTTATTCAGCAAGTCAGGGTAGAAGAGAAGCAGAATTTAACTTTCTTTCTGCAGCTTAAGCCCCCAACCTTCTACTGAAGTCTGCCCATCTCTGCCCATTGCTCTGACTGAGGCTACCCCTGCAGGTGCTGCTGCAGTCACCTTTGCTTTGCTTTGGTTGCAGTTTCCATGCAGCTTTGGCTGTTTCAGACCAGAAGGTTCTGATCAGTGGAGGCTGCAATGCCATGGGAGCCCTGCATGATGCCTTTGTCTTCCACCTAGGTAAGTGACTCTCCTGCCCTGTTTCCATAGCTGAAGGTGACTGTGGGGCTGCAGTGGCGTTCCAGAACACCTAGTCTGGTCCATTTGTTTCATCCCTTGCACTAGGAGTGGGTTTGTCAGTATTGATAGCCCCTTTCTACTTCAGATACTCTTTCATGGAGCACAGTGATCCACCACGACCTCTGCTCTGTGCCTCGAGCTGGCCACACATTGCTTGACCTGACTCCCACTCACCTGATAGATGTGGACAAGGAGAAGAAAGGGGAGCACAGCCTGCACACGGTGTTGGTCTTTGGGGGCTCCAACTGTGCAGGAACCTTTTACAACAGCACAGTCAAGATCAAGCTGGACCTAGGATAATGCAGAATACTCAGAATGAGCCTGAACAGCAAGGGCTCTTCACCAGCCTAAATGCAGACATGGATGGCAATAAATGAGCCCAAGCAATGTTGTGGTCCAAGTATCTGTATGTAGGTGAATGCCACCTTGGCACAAGAGACTGGAGGTTTGTAACATCTTTCGGAAGGCTGTGGGTATTGTTCTTTTAGGGTAGCTGATATACAGTATCAGACTGGCAGAAATTCCATCCCCTATGGATGTCTTGGTACTTGGGCTCGGGTGCCAAAACATTCAGTGAGATCTGATCTAAGCCTCCACAGGAACACAGACACAAAGATCTGGTTTCCTTTCTTGCCCTACAGGTTTTTGGGCTGGAGTTCCTGGAGTGCTTTCAACTCTGAAGGTGACTCAGGTGTTTCGTTTCATTTGGGATGAGTGAATGGGATTTACTCCTGCCACTTGGAAAGTCTTCATAGTGAAAGTATGATTCTGGTTTCAAGGGAACCTGAATGGGATTCCCTTAGGCAATAGTCTGCAGCTGAAAACTAGGAAAACACCTGGAAGAGTGTTTGAGGGAAAAGGAATGTAATTTTCAGTGTATGGGAGAAAGCTGTTTGTGCCTTGCTGACTATGGCACAATCATTTAGTGTTGCTCTAGACAGACCTTTATGATAAATTCTGTGCGACTGCTGCTATGTAAGGAATAGGTACAAGTCCTCAGTCCCAGGTAGTAATTCTCTTATGTGCAAGGGGTGGCAGAGTTGCTGACTTAGCTCTTTCAAGATCCATGAGACCCAACAAAGGTTAGGATTAAGCTGTCTTCCATCAGAGACTAACTCTTACTGTTTATATCCATGGCACTGATGACTATGCCATAGCTCTGAGGCAGCTCCAAGGACAAGCACAGTGTATACACTGATTCCTTGATGCTCTTTCTGTAGATGGTAGAAAGAAGCTGCACCTATGGGGAGTCCAGAATTGGCTCAATGCCTCACAGTTGTTTGTGGCCACATTCCCCAACCCAAAGCCATACAAAGGGAACTTATGATAATTATGGATGCTTCTGCTTTAATCTGCTTCATGGAGATAGATTAGACAGAAAAAACTAGTAGCTGTAAGCATTCCAGCACAGGCACACTCCTCTTAGTTATCCAGGCTCCTTGGAGTCCTCTGTCCTTCTTCCCACCCAGATTAATGGGAGACAATAGTACTAGGGCTTCCTGCTGGCACTGAAGTCCTACTCAGACTGTAGGTGTTGTCTTCTTTGTCACTCCAGCTGACTAGATTTAATGAGTAGAAGGGCTTCAAGCTCGCAGCTCTGCAGGGGTATCTGGCTGCCGGCATGGATGGCTTACTTTGAAGGCCTCTAACTCCAAGAGAGCTTTATTTATTCTGGTTATTGTGGGATATGGACCCATGTCCACTTTGAATCTGCAAAAGGAAAAGAATTGATGAAGTACTAAGAGTTGGACAGCCAGTACAGCAGTGAGCAGAAGGACAGAGCAGTATGCTATGCCTGCCCAGTATGGGAGAATCTCACAGTCATTTACAATAACAATAAAGATTTGTCCTCGTAGGTTTAAAATGCTAGAAAGGTTAATTAGTTCCTGAAGAGGCTGTGAAGTCTCCTTCTCTAGAGATATTCAAAACCTACCTGGAGGCAATCCTGTGCCACTTGCTCTAGGTGAACTTGCTTTAGCAGGTGAGTTGTTGGACTAGATGACCTCCAGAATTCTCTTCCAACCCCAATGATTCTGTGATTCTGTGATCTTTACCAGGCTTTTATATAATTGCAGCACAGGTAAGGAGGCACTATGCTTTTCCTGGGAATCATGCAGCCATTACTTGTATGTGTTTAATGCTTTAAATAAATATAGATGAATCTTTTCCTCCTGTGTGTTGTCTAAATATAAGGCAAACAGGGAGAGAGAACGTGGAGTGTGGGCAACCTCAGCTTTTCTAAGGTCATAGATCAGGTTTCCCCCCAGGGCCCTCTGAGAAGAGAGCGCTGCTCCTTATTTCTAAGAGCTTCAAAAAGAGACAATATTTATTACATAGGATAATTCATGGAGAGAAGAACCAAAACTGGATAGGGCAGGCAGAATGGATACTTTCTAACAGACACAAGGAGCAGCAGAAGGCAAGGTCTGACACCCCAGCACAAAGAATAGGTGCCCTTGAAGAACGCCTCAAGTTTATCCTTAATTACCTTTCAGCATTGGCAACCTGAGGCACCAAGCACAGATCAGCCATGGAAACCTACAAATGTAGCAGAAAAAAGGGGTTACAGTAACTCAGAGCCTGTTCCATCACACTTCACAGCGGTGGCAGGCTTCAAGAGCAGGATAGACATTATTTTATCAGCCAGTACAGAGGAGTTGTCATGGCAATCTAATTATTTAATCCAGCATTAAATAATGCAACAACAGTACAAGGAAAAGAACTTCATAGCAGTCACTAGTAGAAGAAGCCATCAGCCTTTAGGGTTTTTTGGTGGTTTTTGTTTGTTTGGTTGGGTTTTTTTTGGGTTGTTTTGTTTTGTTTTGTTTTTTAATTACCAGCCGATCATGCTAGCCTGAAGGACACTGCTTCTATGGCAACTGCCTCTGAGCAAACAGGTCTGCTGGCAAGCTGCAGAGGGACGTGATGGAGGGAGAGTGGTGTTTGCATGGCTGGGAAAAGATGAGTAAATATTGCTTGTTTGCACTGCAGGAGTATCAAGCAGCTCCTGCCAATGTCAAGACTTGATATGTGATAGGGCCTCTGCACACAGGCTCAGAGACTTGCAACCTAAAAGAAGACTCAAGGACAAGACTGCCAGCTGCCTACCTGCACAGAGGCACCTGTCCCTACCCCACTTCCCAGGTCACAAAGTCCTGGGTACTTCTCAGAGAACACATTATTCTCCAAGATTAGATCTCCTAAGTAGCCTTTGCCCTCCAAGGGTTCCATAAGGCTGCTACTAGACAATTCTCTGCATCACAGGATATTGCAGGAGCCTTCCTTTTTCCCTCAGCTTTTATAAGAAAGATCCATTTGCCTGCCAAGCAGAACTATTAAATGGAAGAAGCCTGAGCTGCCTCTAGTTTGGTAAGGGTCAGAACAGCTTGTATGTGAGCTCTGTGAAATCTGTCCATGTTAAAACTGGAGAATCAGAGCAGAAAAATACAAGTTGGTTAAAGATTTCACAGAACAGAGGTAAGAACTGAACCCATGTTTCTTAAGCCAAGATTTGCCCCTGACTACACTTTTAACTGCAGATCTCTTAAAGATGAAATATATAGCATCTGTTTCCATATTGTCTAGTAACAGCCTGATCCTAGATACAGCTGCAGAATCTGGCCATCAGCAGGTTATAGGCAGAGACAAGTAAATATTTCTGTAACTCTTTGTCACTCAGTAATGGCCTAAGTAGGATCCGTGCAGCTGTTTTTTCTTATGGTGAAGGCACTGCATGTAACTTCAGGCACAGGATGGGGTTGTGCTCTGTCTCCTTAACTAATTTTCTTTCCTATTTTAGGGAAGATACTGGCATTTTCAGTTCTGTAATGGTACACAACACTCTCTCAGATACTTACTTCATCCCCCACACAGTAGCGTCCAGCAGTGTGCTGTAGAATCTGCTCCAGTGCTGTCAAGAGAGGTGGTACACTGGAGTGAGGCATTGGAAATTCACTTGAAGAGGACACCAAAGACATTTTAGACTGATAATTATGAACAAGGGCATTTTGACCATGAACAGAGTATGAAAAAGGACCAATTTGGGACAGAAACTAGAAGGAACAGGAATCTTACAACGGTTTAGTTATGGGAGTCTTTAGGGTCCTTCAGGTTTTTTGGACCCAGGGTGATTTCAGTTGCTTCAGACAATGCAGATGAAATACTAAGAGGATAATGTAGAAATATGTGAAAGGAGAGGGGAGAAATGCAAAGGTTCAGTCAGTTTTTGTCTGTCCAGAAGTGAAGGGGGCCTGTCATTGCAGCACATGGGGGAAATGGTTTTGAAGAAACAAAAAGCACCTTACCTCTAAGGAGGTAAAAAAATACTCTGCTACTTGCTAGACATTGTTGGAGTTTGCCATCAGATATCCGTTGTCTGATTACAAAAGCAAATACATATATATATATGTATATATAGATAGAACTTTAAAGCAAAAGGCACTAGTTTGGGAGCAGCTGGATGGAAAGAACTGCTGTGAGCCCTCATGCTTCAGAGTGAATCAACTGCTGCAGTGTGCAGGATGGCCCCAGACTTCCCCTCTGCCATGTGCAGCAGTGGTAGTGCCCTATGGGCAGCATCTTTCCTCTGAGACCCTGGAAAACTACCAGTCCTGGGCAAGGGACTCTGGGCAGGAAGAGCACTGTCTCTGCGGCAGGGCAGGACCACAGCACACTGGCCTAGAAGCTTCTGTTGTTCTGCTTGAAAAGTCAAGTAGGATGCCAGTGGTGCAGCAGTTTGTAAGGTCAGTCAAAATGCTGATAATTTTAGATGTCGGATGTACCTTGAAAGCCAGATGAAATATAATTCTGAGCCCATTCCATTTTTCTCTCCCCTATTTGTTTCAGGACACCCAGGTTCTGCAAAGGCAAAGCAACCTCTAGGTTAGATGACTGTTGCTGGATGGATCTTGCCCACTGTGTCATCTGGGGGAGGAGAGGGAAGATAAGAGTTGCCAAGCCTGAACCCCTAGCCTGAGTTCAGTGGATTGGGTCAGCCCTGACCTCACCATCATTGAATCATGCACCTCGCTGTATCTTTTTCTTGCCACTGTCCTTCCGTAACAGATCCCAGGGAATCCCTTTGCCTCTGCCTTTGGATTGCTCAATTCTCTTCTTCTTCTAATGTCCTAGACCCAGCAGTAAAACCACATGGGTTCAGCTGTTTCTGGAAAGAGCCCTGGGATGTTATAGGATTTTCTGTGTTGGAAATACTGTACTATTGTTGCCACTGGCAGATCAAGCCACTGGCAGATCAAGGCTAAGCACAGATATCATCTGCTAACTCACAAGTCTGAAGTTCTGCCACCCTGTTGGCTGGCAACAATTTAAACAGACTGAGAATTTCAGAGATGGAAATCCTTTCTGATTTTTTCATTTGCATAGGTCTGACAAGGCAGTACCTGGAGTGGTTGAATGCCTGAGACAATGTGATCAGCAATCATTCTGACTTGGGCTCTCTTCTTTGGATCTTGGGGCAGGAGACTGGGGTTAGGCCGTGTCTCTTCGAGGTAATGAATTATAGCTAGCTGTAGTGAACAGAGAGATAATGGGAGGTTATTGGAGAGCCAAGGAAAAGTTCACATCCTGAACACCTGGAAAGAGGAGCTGATCCAAGAGGATACAACAGCTTTTCAATGAGATTTGTAACCAGCACAGGGAACAGAATATCCCCTCTGATGTCTGCTTGTGACCTGTTGTCATTTAGTCTAGCTGTAATTTCAGGCAAATCCTGGCACAGCCATCTAAGTCAGACTAGAAATTGCTCAGTGAAAGGTAGAATTATGAACCAAACTGTAACTGAACTCAAATCCTTGACAGCAGCTTCCCAGCAAAGACTATGTGATACTTCTGTTCCCAAGTGGGATTGTTTATCATAAATGCCATCTCTTTTCCAATGCACAGATGAGAGCTTTGGGGGAAAAGATAAGGCAAAACCATCCCCTCCACATGGGGCAGCAGGCAGGAGTGAATGATTAACAGGGATGGGGCTGGTAACTCACCGACTGAGAAAGGGTGATGCCATCAATTTTCAAGGCTGGGACTTGCTTCATTGGATTCAGTGCCTTGAATTCAGCGGAAAACTGTGGAAACAAACCTGAGCTTACTTTACAGCAATAAGAAATCCTTCTTTCTTTTTTCTTACCCTAGAACTCAGTTACTAAACATTTTTTTACCTGTTTTTTCTCTCTACTGCAATATTAATATTTTCAGTAAATTATGCTGTACTATTAGCCTATAGCAAGCTCTCACTGGGGCTCAGGGATCACTGCATCCAGGGCCAGACTGCCTTATCGCTTGATAAGCCATCACTGCAATGCCCAGGATGGGTGGTCCTGCATCAGTGTTGGCATTACTGTTCTAGTTCTCCAACTCCGCCTTAGCCCATACTGGCACATTGAGCTGGTGGTATTACTAGGGCACAACTCCCTCCTATGGACCCCAGAGTAAGTTCTCAGTGAAGAGTTCTTCTACCAACTCACCCCTTCCTTTGGCAGGCCCTTTGCAGCCCCCTGCAATATCATTTAGCATCTTTTGGACACATGCACCCTGACACACACATGCTTTTTGAATGAGGTTGTGTCTGTGTTTAAAGTGCAGTGCAGCTTCTCAGAAGTCTATGCACCAGATATGTTCAGTCATATCATGGTAAGCAAGAGCAAAAGATCTTCAGCATTCTGAATTCAGTTACGGATGTTTAAGAGAGGAAAAAGCCTCTATCTAATCCCAAGCCTCCTCAGGATCCCCAAGTTCAGTACCCTTGGAGACAGCAATGGTATCTCTATCCTTACCTGCTGTCCTCCATCCTTCACGAGGTTCACTGGCACCAGGTCATAGGAAATCCCTTTCAGAGCCAGTGCTAGGGAGAGCAGAGTGTACAGCTTCAGACAGGTAGAGTGGGACTATTTTCACTGGTAATGGATTCAGGGAAATGTTACTGTGGAAGGCGCAAAGGAGAAAGCCAGATCCACAACTTTGTGGGTGAAAAGGCTAGAAGGCTTTATTGAAGAGGAACTGAACTGAACAGGCAAAAGATTGTAAGCA